CGCTGCCGCACACAGTGCGGGCGACGTCAAGCTNACCTGGTTGAGTCTGGTAAGTCTCAGTCTGTGAGGACAGAGTAAAGCGACTTATATTGCAACGCTCAGACAGGCCTGTATATATACTACAGAGAGTGGCTATGCGGTGCAATCACATGCTAAGCTATAGAACAATAAAGAAGGCTGTGGAACGTAGCAACGCACAGCCTATTGTGTCAGAAATAGATACAGCTGTGCCGAGGACGGCAGTCAAGGCGGGCTGTGCCAGCGCCTGTGAATCGGTGGCTGTAGAGCGCCAATTCAACACTCCCCCTCGCTGAGTGCAACGGTAAGCACGTAAGCGGATATGGCGCAAAAATGCAGCCAAAGAGAGGACGAAGGTTTCAACCGAACACTAGGCCCAGTTGTGACCTGAACTTGAGGAATTTTTCATGCCCCAAGTTCTTGGTGAACATGTCTGCAGGGTTCTCAGAACCTTCGATGTAGAACAGCTCAAGCTCCTTATTGACGTGCTCACGAATGAAGTGATATAGCACATCAATGTGTTTGGAGCGGCGTTCAGTAACCGCGTTGGATGCGATGAATATCGATCCTTGGTTATCACCGCAGATCGGTAATCGGTTAAACCTATACCCGAGCTCCATGAACAAAGCTCGTATCCAGAGCATTTGGCGACTACAATCAGAGAGTGCCATATACTCGGCTTCTGTAGACGACAGTGCAACAGTTTTCTGTGCTCGTGAAGTCCAGGAGACTATTCCGTTGGCCAATTTTATGAAGTATCCTGTGATCGACCGTCTCGAATTAGGGTCTGAAGCCCAATCAGAGTCAGTACATGCCAAAAAGCCTAATCCCGAGCCACCATCATACTTCAAGGAGTAATCCTTGGTGCCGACTAGGTAGCGGCAAATGTATAATGCTTTGGCGAGGTGATCCTCAGAGGGGTTGGCCGAGTGTCGCGCAAGAGCAGTCACTGCGAAGGCGATGTCTGGTCGAGTGCCAATCATAAGATAAAGCAACGATCCAATGACGGTCTGGAAACGGTTCCTGAGAACCGGATCAACAGGTGCTTCATTGGTTTTAGGTAAATAGCCAGTTGGCAATGGTGTGGGTGCGACTCGCGCATTCTCCATACCAAAACGCTGCAGTATTTTGTCTAGGTAGGCTCGCTGGTCGAGATGGACACAGTTGCCTTTCCAAGTGATACGCATGCGCAAGAACTCTTTGCCGTTGAGTTCTCTACACTCCCACTTATCCATGAAAGCTCGTTTGAGCCTTAGGACGGTAGGAGAGTTCTTGGGCCCCATAAAGAAGGCATCGTCAACATAGACTACGGCAATGCAGAAATTGCCATCTTTGTTGTAGACGAATATACCAGCATCTGACACAAGGCGTTTAAAGCCTAGGTCGGCCATGGACCGGTCGAGGGCTTTCCACCAAGCTAACCCTGCCTGTTTAAGTCCGTAGAGCGCGCGGCGAAGCTGGAAAACCATGTTTTCG